AACAAAAACGATAAAGCGTTATCTTCATTTTGTACTGAATTGAAATTCTGACTTTCAGGTTCATTATCTCCTTTAACTTTAAGGCATCTGTACACACAAGCAATCTAATTGGTTTCTCTTAGGGATGTTAAGAATTGCTCGTGGTTGTCTGCTGAGATCATCAGTTTCAGGCATTTGCATAAGCAGGTCGCTCCTAGCTTGCAATGTCCACCGTTTTAGCTTTTCAGTACTCTTGCTATAAAATATTGGTCATTCCATCTTAGAAAAAAAATATTACTTTTCTAAAGCATATATGCTCCAAACTTTGTTCAACCACGTTGCATGTTCGCCTCCTGGTCCACAACTGCGGTGTTTCGACTCCTATACGAGAAGCTCATGGCCCAGAGCAACAGGTTCATGCTCAGCCAGTTTGTCTCTCCGGGTCAACTTCCCTCTCTTACTCTCCAAATCTACAGAAGTCACGTGTGGCTGGAAGAGAGAAGAGTCATTCCTTACGTGATCGTACCATTTAACTCTCATCATGAGTCGAATCCAACGCTGCTGCATAAAGTTTAACAGTCGTTCTTGCTCCTTCATTAGAACAACTGCATCCGTGTCGCACAACAACCTTGACCTGACAGAGGCAATATACTGGGAGATTTTTGTGGAAGTAGTCACTCATTTCTCAGTTCAAATTTTCTGGACAGGTTTCCAAAAGCACTCGAGGTTAAAATAATCCCCTTGTTTAAGTCTGGCTGAGGAGTGCCATTACTGGATACGATGGGGCCGAGATATTTAAATTTGTGAACCTCACTGTTCCATAGGTAAATCAGCTGTGCTGGATGGGTTCCTCACGATTTCTGAATTCCGGGTGTTAAGGCAGATGCCGCAGATGAAGCCGTCGCAACTGAAGCCTAGGGTGACGGAGCCCGCTCCCTATACTAATCACCAGAAAAATATCACCTGCGCAGCAAGAAGTCTAAGATCTTGGACTTCCTTCGTCTAGAATCAGACCTTCGTCATCGAAAGGGTCAGCAGAGTGTCAGAGACTTAAGTCGCGAACGCAGCAAAACGCGAAACAACTCTCACTGGCGAACTCCAAAGTTAACAGAAAACTATTCGCATAGCTCTCCTTCGACTTTGACAACAGAAACGATTCCTGCATACATATCTTCTACAGTAGAAATGGTATGCTCAGGTATGCCATAGCATTTTATGATTTTCCATATAATCGGACGACGTAGCAAATTAAAGCCGAGGGAACTGGCAAACCAAAACATTCCTACGCAGAGTGAAAATTTGGTCAGGGCAAATGCAGCCCATCCAGAAGCATGTTTCATTTTGGCGAAGTCTTTCATCTGCTGCTTGCATTAACTTTTCCAGGATAATTCAGGATAGGAGTTTCCTGGGAGTTGACAATGGTTTGATTCCTAGTTGACAATGTATTCCTGCTATACGACAATCTACAATCAAGCTCCACTGCACATTAAAAGATTTTCATTTGAAATACCGTCGAGTTGACGGTTCTGGATGAAAACAAGCATCAAGAATATTTCAGCTCACTTCGTACTCTTCCGGTAAATCAGACGCGAATGTGTCCGATTCAAGCCTGGCGCTTAGTATGTTGTCGACGTGTTCGATCCACGAAAGACAGTCGTTCAGCTGCCGCTCATGCTCTTCCGTCTCGCAAGCCCTTGCTTTCAAATAACTGTGCAACTCGTACGCCTGAAACAAACCGAAACGCAATTTGCACTGCTCCATGGTCGCCGTTCATCGCATTTGCCCAAACTCACCGGGAACAGTACTTCGCTTCGTCTAACCTTGTATTTAGTCAGTTCGTTTTCGAGCGCCGCCAGCATCATTCTCTGACTCTGCAAAGACGTGGCGATCTCCATGATCCTGTCGTGACGATTACAATTTTCAATGATTCTCTCTAATTCCTATAACAACCGCGAATTACTGAAAGAGAACTAAATCATAACCAAATCTAATGAATTACATCAAGCTGTTCAGAAAAATCTTCGGCATCAGCGGCAGGCTTTCGCGGTTCCTTCAGCTTACTCTCCATCTCATCCAGCGCAATTTTTTCAGCAGCCATTAGCTCTGAAAACATTTACATGATCGCCGTGGCCTACGCAGAAATCACAACCGCACTGCAGTTGAAATTACAACGAAAGCACAACACTTTCGTACCAAACGTAAGAACAGCTGCAGCGACAAAAAGAACTTCCGAAACCAAGACCAACCACCCTCGCTACCTCGAAGAAGGCCTGTTAGACGGCGGCTGAAACGTCGGCGTTGGTCAATCATCTAACTTACCAAATTCTTTGCGCTGCATACAAATAAACCCTGTTCTGTGCTGTATTTACGATGACCACCAAAGCATGCACGAAATACGGAATCGCCGAAAGCAAAACGCGATGCATTCGCTTTCATGCTGCGCAACTTTACTCGGATTTTGCTATATGTATACACAATATAGTTCTTGTTCATTTAATCGTTTTGAACACGTAGCAAACGTTAAAAGACGCAAAAAATATCACATATCACGACTAATCTGCAGACGTTGCTTCAAAGAACCGCAATTTTAGTTCAGATTACATCAGTCATTTATCAAAAACAGGTTGACAGCCATTTGAATGTCAGTATCTGTCGCACTTTCATGATGGAGTTATATGTCATACCCTTCTTTTGTGACAAATGTGTTATGTGCAGTGCTACACCATAAGCGAGAGAGTCTTGTTTTTCGGAGGGCACTGCTTATGGTATGTGGTACCCTGTTTCCTTCTTACATAGTGCTACCTAGTTCGCGATGTTACCCGCTGCGGGGTTAACGGTGCTTTGATGTACCATCAAGGAGCGCTGGATGAGTCGTCTTCGACCATGTAACTGAATTTGTCATTCTTTTTGAAAGCACCATTATGATCAGAATGGCACACAGAATGGTGGCTGAACTGATGCATCCACATCGCCGAACATCGCTTCAAATTAATGAAATGAGAGAGAACTTAACCATGCTTTACTTCTGACGTGGTGTATCAGTAGACTGATATTTTGATTAGAGAGGAGCCTTCCTACGTTCAACTCTAGAGATCAGTTGTGGACAACAGTTTATCAATTTTAGTCGTTAAATTTTCTGGTTTGATCCTGTTGATGTTTTTGTGCAGGACTGCTGCAAGGCATACCAATTTGTCTTTGTTTAATTTTGAACTTTAATTGAATTTATCTACCTATTTCGAAAATAATGAAATGCCAAAATTCAAATGTGTGAATTTTAGAATGCGAGTCAAATGCCAGTGGAA